TACGCCTAACTGCATGCACACGTATAGTAACTGCTTTGCCAATAATCAGTTACCAGTATGCATCTAACTCCTCCGCCTATTCTGCTCCATCAGTAATGCCAGCTTTGCCCACCCCTTTGTTACTTTCTCAGTCCAGCTTCTCTCACTTCAGCCCTTTCTGCATGGAACACTCTCTTTGTACATATCTGTAAAGCCCCCTCCTTTAAATCCCCTCTTCAAGACCCACCTTTGCAGCCATGCATACAAGACATTAGCTAATTAAGGACAGCTAGGTTGAGAGGCAGATGGGGAAAGTTGCTAATATTTTTGTAAATATATCATTATTTTAAAAAATGCATGTGTATATTTGACTGTGTCCCTGTTCCTACATCCTTTGTGTTTCTTTTATCTTTAAAAATTCTGAGCTCTTGGGGGTACAGTCGAGGGCTTTATATGTTTTTGTACATTGCCAGGCATAGTGGGACCACTGGCTACTACAATATACTTATTAAATAATAATATTTGGTTAATTGGATGTGTAGTTCCTGCAGTTAGAGTGCAGTCAGTGTTGGGAACTGAAAATCTGACTTTTAATCTAAACTGCCTACCCTGTAGTATTTGTGTGCCAGAATCATCCCCCTCTGAATCCTCTCCATTCCAACTCCACTGGCCTTCATTCTTCTTTTGACTGCTCCATCCCCTCATTCATTCTTCCATGCCACTTCATGTGACTGGAACAGACACCTCACTCCCATATGGCTGGCAACCTCCCTGTCCTCTAATCCTCTCTGAAAGCTCCACTGTTTTTATGATTCTTCCACCATTAACCTTTACTCTTATGTTCTCCTCTACCACTTGCATATCAGACCTTGGCAGATGAACTAAACAAAAATAACCAAAATGGATTGTAAACTCCTTGGGGCTGGGACCTTGTCTTATTTTCTATGGGTAAAGTGCCTGTTACATCTATGATACTGTATACATAATAACGCATATGTATATAATAATGATACTTAGTAGCTATATAGCCTTCATACAGTTTGAGTGCAACACAAATGTTAGCTCATTATTCCCCTGATCCTGCAAAGACTTACGCATGTGAATAGTACCATTGAACTGAAAGTTAATTTAAAGTTAACCATGAATTTAAAGGTTTTCAGGATTGGGGCTTAGTATAGCAATATTATATGTATATGTAGCCTAAACTGCAAACTCATATGTGTATCCTATATCTGAATGGTTGGCAGACCCTTTGAAGTGTCTAGTCAATGTATTTTGTAATGTTAAAGATTACAATATGTGAATTTTTATGTACACTTTTATTAAAGATATAAGGCCCTGAAACACTAAAATAAATTTGAAAAGCACTACAATATTGTAGCAACTTTGTGGTTCTGAAATAAAATTGTACTTACAGGGATCACTGGTATGAAAATAATAAATATTTTCTATTTTTAAAAATAAGGAAAGGAAACAACATAGGTGTTTTTCTAAGAGAAGGCAGAAAACCCCACAAATGACCTGTTAAGCAACAGAAACATATAATAAAATATAAATGAAATATAAATGAACAATTCAGTTAAAAAGTTTAACAAATTAGTACCACAGTTGAATTTCTTATATTATTAAAAAACTGTTCCCAACCCACAGAGGAAATGCTGGTGATTGATATCATTGTTATTCAGAATATTATAAGTAACATTATCTGTTGTCACAGATTACAGAAAAAAATTCCACCACGTTATTTGTTTTTCTTTATATTTTGGCATAGTTATGGAATTTAGATTCAATTACACTTTGGGTAAGCTCTAGTCAAACTTGAAAACACTCCGGCTTTAAGATAATTCTTTCCTGGGTTTTTCAGTTTTTCTTATATTGTCGGTTTAAAGATAGTATGACATGTTGATTCATCTTTAGATATTTGTGTGTTTTCTGTATCTCCTCTGTGTACTGTGTAAGTGCATTGTATTCAGGAAAAAAAGCTTCTGGATAATTTCTCCTTAGAAAAGCAGAAGATGCTTCAGTTGCTGTATATTCTGAGATGCAATTTCCCTATTAATTATAGGGGGTTGAATAAAGGAAAACTAATTATACTGTCAGTTTAATTTCTTTGCAGAAATACTAGGCTGTTTTAACCCATTGATCTCTCATCACTGGGAGCACTTTGGTACCATTTCCAGATGTCTATCAGTCTCCAGAAAGGTTTTCATTTCAAAGGCAGCACTCTAACACAGAGAAATGCAATAGCCTGACACGTTCAAGACGATTTCATTTGGATTGAATCAAAGAATTGCTGTAAACATTGACTAGAAATGTAAAAGGGTCATTGAAGGTTCCACACAAGCCATTTTTTGTTTGGTGAATTTCACATTTACCAGTCCTTCTGCTATGGGATATAGAGGCAAAGGGAGAATCTAATGTAGTATTCTGAAAGTACTATTTGAATGCAAAAGCTGAAAACATTATGCAGGGCTTATTGTATAGGTCAGCACAATCAAGTGCTGTATTCTCTCCCAAACTGTAAGCAATAAAAGTAGAGTTACACATAGTAAAAGCTGTAACTTCTATAATCAGTACTACTAGTAAACTTTCATTATTCTGTGAATGGAAAAAGTCTTTGATTTCATATATGCTGAGATCATTCATTAGCATGGCTGCAGATGAAAGGTGCTTTACGATTGTAATGAATTATATTATTAGAAATATTTTTAATCATTTGAGCTAAATTGAAATCAGGCAGAAGAGTTCTGATAGCAGTTTGTAGAGTAGTTCTCTCAAGTTTGCTAGATTCTCTTGAAAATAAAAACATAGGAGATATATTGGAAAACTAACACAGCCATACAGTCATTTCTCTGCTTTGCCTGGTGTGTCCAGTTTGATCATTAGTAGCAGGATATTTTTTTCTAATCTTATTAGATGCCAGGAATAGTTGCATTCCGAACAAGTTATAATCAATCTGAGCAATTGACTTCCCTACCAAATCGCGCCGATGCCATCTTGCACATTGCAAAGTGTAACTAATGCACTGCAGGTTGGGTATAAAAAAAAATGTGAACAAAAACAATTAGGGTTCTTCATTTTTCTAGACCAGTGATAGAAATGTAAGAAACAAGCAAATTCATTAGGGAAAATGGGATTTGTCTAAATAAAAAGATAATTATAACATTACATTATGCTCACATTTTGATGCTCTATAATAGTTTGATATAACATTAATGGTTTATGTGTGGAGGTAAATATTTTCCTTTACTTACAAATATATGTTCGTTTGATATTTCTGTATCAAGACTGTATAATTTAACATTTACTTCATACTATCACTATTCATTGCAACTTGGATCTGATACTTGCTTCATCAGTCAGTCCCAGAGATTTTGTCTCAAAAGCATTCTTTAGAGCATGAGTTTCTTCCTATGTTAGATTTTATTGCTTGCTTCTGGAATATAATCTAACGGAATGCAGACTAACACAATCCAATAGCTGGAAATAAAGATAATGCTTTTTCAGGGGTCACATAAGCCTATTCACATTGAAACGTGCTCATTCATCTGAAATTTTTCATGGTTAGCAGATGAATAGGATGATTATGAAAAACAGGCATTTGTGCCTTTGTATATACCATAATACTTCACTACATGCATGTCTTTAAAAAAATAAATCATATAGTTAAAAGATCTGTTTCATATTTATACCACTTTTTGAAGATATGTAAAAAAGCAATACAGTGCTAGCATGGCATGAATGAATGGCATGAATCCCAAGTCAGCAGCCTTTATGCCTTTTACCCCACAAAGCTGTGCGACCATTGAAATTAAATCCAAACAGTCTGTGTCAGTCATTATTGAAATGTTAGGCTTGACCACTGGGCTATTCCCAATGTATTGTCAAGATTGTTATAGGAAATTTCATTTTAACTTGAACGAGCAAACTCAGCCTGGCTTAGCATCTCACCCAAAGGGACTGTACATTTCCTTGCAGCTGTATCCCACACTCCAGGTGTGACTCTGGTGTCCACACTGAAATTTAGTCCAATTTCTGATTAGTGGCTTGAATCCACAGACTTCTGGCACTGCCAACAAAATTTAATTTCTATTAAGAATTGAGTGCTTCCCTTAGCTTAAAATGTGTATTTATTTCCCCAAACCATCAGAGGTCAGAGCAAGAGCAAAATCCATGGTCTTCTGGATACAATATAAGCCAGGTATAGCGCTGGCAGCCAGTCTAATGAATACGTATTCTTCTGCTAATGACCTCACCCTTGACCAGGAGGAAAGAGACACTAGAGAGATGAATGGTGATTCATTCTCAGTGCTGGGGCTGGTCCTTTGGTAAATGACGTGTTTAGGAAATAATGCAGACTACCGTTCAGTAAGTCTGAAACAAAAAACAAAACAAAAAGTTTCATTTGGGATCTTCAGCTACAGTTGAGTAATTGTCCTTGGTAAACCCCTTAAGTAAGTAATCAAGGAAATTACCCCTCATCACTAATTATTTATTTTCTCAAGCTGTCAGCCTTGATTAAGCTCATCTTGTTGCATTGCTTAAGGGGAAAATTGTGATTCAAATTTGAGGTTGGAGGGACAAGCCTTACCAGAAAAGTGGCTCACTTTAAGATCTCCGCTTCCTTACCCCACAAACATGCCCTGATCCTTATCTTGAGGGGGCTGAATGAGCACGACTGAGGGTGAGAAGATTTTCTGTGTTCTTTTGCTCATTGGCCTCTTCAGAGACTGTTTAATTTCATTTCTGAGTTGGACATTGGGACCAAGATCAATTGCTCATTTTTTGCAGGCCACAGAACAGCTGTTAATGGTAACCACTTTTGGTCACTGCTGATGTGGGTTGGATAAACGCTCTTTATCCATTACAAATCTTGTGAGCCAGCCAGTCATTATGAGCTTTGAAACAAGTTAATGGAGACCATAAAAAAAAACGGGAAGAGCTGATGATATTTATACATTTTAAATATAACTCTTGCAGCCTGTGCAATCACTTAGAATTTCCTCGTTCTCTGTTTTTAGAGGATTACCCCAATGGGACATGGCTTGGAGATGAAAACAATCCTGAGATGCGAGTCCGTTGCCCCATAACCCCAGCTGACATGCTGCATATCAGCACCAACTGCCGCACAGCTGAGAAGATGGCACTGACGTTGCTAGATTACCTCTTCCACCGGGAAATTCAGGCCATCTCCAACCTTTCAGGGCAAGGGAAGCATGGGAAGAAGCAGCTTGATCCTCTCATGATTTATGGTATTCGCTGTGAGTATAACACTGAAGTTTCTGATCTTGTGCTATATAGAGAGATTTCCATCTGCTTTGTCTGACAATTGAGAACAAAAGAGACAAACAGCTAAATCTTTAGAACCAAGTGTTCTAAAATGTTCATGCACATTTCTTTTTTGGTTTATTTGTCTCAATATTTTTGGGTAGGCCTTCTTCTCAGTAATGGCAAATGTTATTACCTGCTCGGGTATTTGTATAAACAACGAGGAGTATGCATCTCTTGACTCCAATCCTGCCTCTCCTTCTCCCCCTCTCTGGTCTTCTTTCCCGCCCCCCCAAAAAAACCAACAATCCATAGTAATTAACTTGTCCTCTGGACATCACACATTAGATACAATGTTGATTGCCCTTTACTGAAATAAGAGTGGGGCCCATCTTATTTATTCTGGTGCCATCTATGCCTCTAATTTATTTAGTCTAATTTCTGTATGAATAAAGCTTCCATTGCTGTGGCACCTATGTGCAGTCATTAATGCAGCTAATCACCTCCACCTGCTTGTTGCTCAGATATTGCATTATCTGCTCCATGCTCTGTATTTTTTGTGGCTCCATTTTGAATCTCACTATAGGAAGTACAATCTGAAAGATGATTGGCTGACCTGGTAACATTATTCTAGGCAGCAGCCCAAGCCTACAAATACAGTCAGGCAGGTCATGCATCAATCTGACCAACTTCTCCTTTACTCTACAGTTATTTTGGTCTGCACATTTGTTTTTAAATGATATATTTTTATGTGGGAGGGGGTAGCTCTAAAGAATTACAGCACATTATAACAAGTCATGGTCCAACTTCATTTTTCTAATATCTATGTTTTGTGAAGTGTGGTTCTGCTCTAAAAAGTAACTTCATTATGTTACTTCTTGAGTTATTTTTGTAATAGACATTTATGCTCATCCCCCATGTAACACTGAACATACTTTGCAAGGTTTTGATTTAACAGCAGACATTATCTTCCAAATAACATGCTCTGCTCCCCTCCCCTCTATGGTGCCAAACTAGCTAATCCTAGGGAAACCTCGCTAGCAGGCTAAGTGACAGTAGATTCCAGAACTTGCAGTCAGTGGAAAACCTGGACAAAAAGTGCATCAAATTCAAAATGTGTTCAGGCATCAGCTCAGATGTATTTCCCTTCGGGTGAGTTGTAGACAATGCTCTGCCTTCCTGCTTCTGCCAGTCTCACTCTTTGGACAGACAGCTGAATGTAGATGGCATGATGGAATATAGAGGACATTTGAAATTGCTCCTACAGTGGTGCTGAAGCACAATCGTCTTCCAAAGAGCTGGGCTGAGACTGTCCATTTATGTTGGGCCCAATCCTTTTCTCACTGAAATAATTGAAAACACTTATCTTGACTTCATTGATAGCAGGATTAGGCCAATTATCTTATTCAGAAACATGTTGTGGGTATAGATCTTATGCTGCTGTAGTGTAGGAGGCAGGTGGGTCAGTCCTTAGAAACACCACATGCAAACTAAAATGCTTCTTTCCATTTACTGTGGTCAGAAGCGTAATGATAGGATCTGGAAACATAGAGAATTGCAGGTTTTAAAGATTCTTGTTATATCATGACAGTTTTCACTGAGTTTCTCAGAGCCCATGGTAGGCTGAGTAGAAAGACATTTATGGGGAATAGTCTTGGTGAATATTCAAACTCTGGATTTGTTTTTTAAGTCGTGAAAACATTAGAAGTAACATTAGAATTGTACTCAGCTATCCCAAATGATCACATTAAATTACATTCTGTAAGAGTTGGGTGTGTTTTTTGTTGCTGTTGCCACCAGCCAGATGTTTTCTTAGCTTCTATTTATGGGAGGATCCTAAAGGACCAATTTAAATTAGTCTGCAGTGGGTGTTTCCTAGAAATCTCTCGGTCTCTCTTTTTGGTTTAGGAAGCCACTCTGAGTTCATACAGTTCACAGGTACAGAGCATACCAAATGTAGCACATTTCTAGTTGAGAAATACCAACCATGGTGATAACTGAAATAATGAAAAAAAAATCAACTTGTTTTTGTTGGAAATATAGATACAGTTCATGTAATCAAAATAATATGAGCTTGGATCTCAGTTTTGACCAGCTGGAAACAAATGGGGAGTGTGGATTGTCTGGATGGTTTGGCTATAAATTCCAAGTGGAACAAACTCATTTTATTTTTTATCAGTATGTATCGTTTCAAAGGGTGGACCTCACTCAAATCGAGACAAAGGAAATTGTAGCAGGCTCACTGCAGTTTACACAAAATTTCCCTACTTTAGGGAAAAGTTAAATATCATAAAGTGTGTGGATTCAAGATAGGAACTCTTTGGATGATATGGTTCATGGTTGAACTATGGTTCATATTGTCTCTCCTTGTCAGGATGAGTGTTAGGAGGCTATCACAGGCCTACAAACAGTTTTGCAATGTATATTAGGGATATAGACATTTTTTTTTCTGTAGCTTTATAGGTAACTAAGATGCTGTGGGAGGTAGATTATGGTACATAAAGTGTCTGAAATGTTCTTAGACATGGGTGATGGACAACCTGACTGTTTGAGTAAGCAGTAGGCACCATGCTGATATGACGCTATGGTTACTAGCAGGGGATTACTCAACCAATTGTTTGATGACAGCAGCCAAATTGACTTTATAAGTATAGTTTACAGTTTACATTTCAGGCAAGGTAAACCTGCAAATGCCTTCTGAATAGTTGAAATCCTGACACAAGCTATAGCACATATTGGGTACCTCTGCTATCCATACTGTCTAAAGCAGTGGTTTTCAAACTGAGGTACGTGTACCCCTAGGAGTGTGTGAGCTCTTGTCAGGGAGTAAGTGAGAAAAATCCTGTGATGGTGGGCAATGCATTTAATTTAGTAAGACTTGGCAATCTAATCATAGATATATTCTGACTCTATCTCAGATGGGGGTACATGGTAGACTACATTATTTGGAAAGAAGTATGCAGCCTAAAAAACGTTGAAAGCCACTGGTCTTAAGTATACAGAAATACTAATGTTAACGTGGAATTATATGGAGAACCATTGAAAAAAATGAGCAACATTCCTGCATGAAACAAGCTTTATAGGCTACAAACTTTGGAGTAGAAGACTGAATTATGCATTCCTGAAATTATTTTATGTAGTTCACCTACAGAGCAGTACAATGGGAATAAATTAACGTACTCAGATATTTTTGTGTGCAGTTATTATTTGGAATGCCAGCTAACTTTAATCTTAAAAAAAAAAAAAAAAAAAAAAGCACCAATTAGAGCCTGTTTGAATTTTTCTGAGGAATTCAATACTGCATCATTATATTTCTGCTAGCGCAATGCAGAGTTACATGGAGAAAGTCTGTGGAAAGTGATTGCTAATGAGCCTGATAGCACTGTTCCTTCTTCAGGCTGGACTGAGTTTGGGAAGTACGCTCCTAATGGCCTCATTTTGTTGGTGGTGATGTCACCTGACTACTGTGGTGGGGACCAGTGGGCTAAATTAGAAATAGCCTGTTGGACTTGCTGTATTGTGGCTTATCATTGGTTCACTCTGTAAGGGAAACAGAAGCCTTCAAAGGCTTTCACAGTGTTGTTCGATCATGTATAAAATGTGTTGGTGGCTCTGTAAGGGCTAATAAGACCTACAGATAATTTTGTTCTTGCAAATTTTGGAGACCTCTTCAGATACTTATGGAATGTAAATGGTACTTTTCTAGGTTACTGCATGTAACACTATTATTTTCACAAGTTTTTATAAGCCTAAATAGGTTTTGTTTGAAAATTTGTTCATAAAATGAAGGGAGTGGGGGGGGAAGCAGTGTGCTTGCAAAAAGTGCACATGCAACCCCCTAAATTGAGGTGTCCAAATCGGATTATTGTAGCCCTAAGTGCTGTTTGTATGTGCAATTACCAGATTTGTATCTGCAAAGCAGGCTTTTGAAAATGAGGCTCCTTAAGTGAAAGTGTGTGATCATATTGGCAATATATGACTAAGCTGATATAATTTAAAAGGGAGATTC